GTGCTGGGTGTCACCTGGGGGAGGAGGTGCAGCACGGGAGGAAAGTCTGGGAATGGGACCTGGGGACTGAGAGGTGGTGCTGGGTGTCACCTGGGTTGCTGACTGACAGGACGGGGAGGAGGTGCGGCATGGGAGAAAGGTCTGGGTAGTATCCGGGAAACACCAACAATATTCACAGGGCAGCCAGAGAGGGGGCCCAGGGAACAATGGAGGCATCGGTTGCATGCCACACAACTCTCCTATATTGCAAGGACAGTCTGAGGATTTTTAGTGAATTTAAACACTAGTGTACCTATCGTTTGGGGGCACTGCCCTCACCTCAAAGGTCCTGATGGGTTCTTGTGCAAGCAGTCCTCACTGCCACCTCTAGCCCCCAACAATCACCAGTTGGCTTTCTGTCTCCCTATTTAGCTTTTTCTAGAAATGTCTCCTGCAGCCAAACTAAAGCATAACCTGGCTGCACTGTTCTGATAGCTTGAACAACAGGGAGAGACTCCCCTGCCTTGGAGGGAAAGGAGGAAAAGGGTAATATCCACCCTGGACAGAACAGCCAGATCTGCTCCGCTGATGAGGACAAGGCGTGCTGCCCACTACCCTCCTGGCCTGGAAGACAGGTTCCTGGGAACCCCATAGCTACCTGGACCCTGTTTTCTATTAAACTCCAACCCCTGCAATTATATAGCCTGCCTGCAGGGGGCAGCCTGCCTGCCTGCAGGATCCGAGACAGGTGCAGGAAAGGGCAGGAGTCCCCCTCTGAGAAAACCATCCACTCCGGAGGGCATCAGCTAGCATCCAGCAGACCACAACAGTCAGGGGTCAAAGGCGGCCTCCATAGTCATCTGAACAACTTCCCTGATTCCCCACATTCAGCATGATTAGTCCTTCCTAGGTAGGGACTCCAGACTAGTGGTCGCCTTCTTCCTTCCTGACTAGCCACTTACTTGAACTCTGCTTAAATCCGGTGGCTGAGTGAACGATGACATTCAGGAAGCCATAGAGCCCAGGAGATTCATCATCTATTTAAGAGACCAAAGAGATAAACTTCTCTCCTCCTGGGAGAAAGAGGCAGGTGACAGGCTGGCTGTGCTTCACCATCAGCCATCACACGGACACCACGTGGCCGCCAACTGCCCAGTGTGGGCAATGTGGTGTCTCAGACCCATGGAGGATCTCAGTATCTGTTTAGCAGGCTCACAACGCATGCAAACCACTGACTACGACCAAGTGCATTAAGGCTCCAAGGGAAGGAGAGGGGGGCGGGATGAGGTGAGATGTGCTGGGAAGGTGTGAGCATATATGCACATGTGCAGCAGTGAATGCACAACTCAGTCTGATCAAAAGCATGGGTTGGCAAGGAGCTGGATGAGGAGGGCCGGGAGGATGGGAGTGGGGCTGGATCCACAGCACAGGGGGTCTGAGGAGCATCTGTCCCAGGCTTTGTAACTGGAGACAGAAACCATGTGCCTCCTCAACCACCCAGCAGCAGCTTCCTGGGGAGGGACGGCTCCTACCCAACCCTGTCCACTCCTGAGAGCAGATGGGAGGCCCTGACAAGCACGCGTCCTCCTGAACTAAAGTCCTCCAGCCCCAAGGACAGTGCTGAAGGGAGGACAGAGGCGGTCCTTGGGCCAGTGGCCACCCTCCTTCCCAGTGGCTATGTGTGCAAAGGGCTATCCCACCTTCTTTGTTGATGGTCAGTGGAATGTTGTGAACGGTCTGAAGCTTGACACACGAGTTGGTCAACATCTGCAGCTCCACGGACGTCAGGGAGAAGCTTTTGAAACCTGTGGCAGTGGAAGAATGCCCTGACTGGCCAGTCTGCACTGCTGCCCCTGTATCATCCTGGGGCAGGGGTCTGCCAGGGCCTGGTGCTTGCTGGCTCAGGAGAGGGTGACAGGCTCCCAGGTGCAGTGCTGGGCTAGCAGCAGGGCCTAGAGGAACTTTAGCATGATGCCTACAAATACCAGCATGTGCCGTCCAAGCACAGCCATTAAGAAGGTCTGTGAGTATGAGGCTGGCCCGGGTCCACTTTCCCATGTGGCCTTCCAGCAGCGTGGCTCTGCCCCCTACTCTGCTAACACAGGTCCCTACTTCTCTGCAAGGTGAGAAAAGGGATTTATTCCTGGAGACAAGGTTTCACTGAGCAGGGAATGGAGGCGGCCACTCTGGCAGTGCCCACCACTGTGGGCAGATGAGGGTTGAAATGGATGGGCCCCTGTTATGACAGGAAGCCATGGGATACAAGCACTGGCAGGGCTACAGGAGCCCCATCCCTGCAGGCCACAGCACAGATGGGAGCCAAGGTGTGGCTCTGCACAGGTGTGAGCAATGCAACCCTGGGGATGGGAGCCCAGGCCACGTCAGAGGCATGTGGAGCCCCTGCCCAGAGTCCTTGTGCAACAGGTCAGCCAGAGATGCTGCTTTGGCAGAAGATGGCCCACGGCTGTGGGAAGCCCATGCCACCTGGGACACAGTGCTCACCAGGCTATCAAGCAAGAGGGACAGTGACACGCAGAGGTTACTGGGAACCAGTCCCAGCAAGGATGGCTTGTGAATTCCACCCAGACCCTGCTGCTGGGTGCTGAGGAGGGAAGAGGGGCTGTCCTCCCCCTTGAATACTGCCAGGGGGCCAGAGAAGGAAAGAGCGCAGAGGAGGAGCTGCCCAAGGGGGAGTGGGAGACCTGTCCTGAGAGCAGGCGGTGCCACCACTTAGGGGGAAGATGAGGGCCCAAAGGGATGGGTAGAGGGTATCAGAAAGGCCTGGAGGGGCTTCCCAGGGGAGATCAGACAGGGAATGAATGAGCAGGGGATGGGGGTGGACAGGTGGAAGAATAGAGGGTTACGGCCCTATCAGGATAGCTCCAGTTTCTTTTCTTTTCTTTCTGAGACAGAATCTCACTATGTCGCCCTCAGTAGAGTGCCGTGGTGTCACAGCTCACAGCAACCTCAAACTCTTGGGCTTAAGTGATTCTCTTGCCTCAGCCTCTCAAGTAGCTGGGATTACAGGCACCTGCCACAACCCCTGACTATTTTTTTGTTGCATTTTGGCTAGGGCCGGGTTTAAACCCACCACCCTCAGTATATTGGACTGGCGCACTACCCACTAAGCCACAGGTGCTGCCCAATTTTTCTATTTTTAGTCGAGTGCTCAGGCTCTCTTTTTAGTAGAGCAAGGCTCACTCTTGCTCAGACTGGTCTTGAATTCCTGAGCTCATGTGATCCACCTGCCTCAGCCTCCCAGAGTGCTAGGATCACTGGTGTGGGCCACAGCATCCAGCCCAATTTATATTCTAAATTAGAGCTCATGTAACATGTTACTTGGATAAAGCCCCTCAAAAATATAAAAAAGGGGGCAGTACCTGTGGCTCAAAGGAGTAGGGCACTGGCCCTATATGCCAGAGGTGATGGGTTCAAACCCAACCCCGGCCAAAAAATTAAAAAAAGAATATATGACAGGTTTCAAACCACAGGAGATGCCTCTCTGGCCCTCATGTTCCCAAGGTCACTCACACTTCTTCTGCTGCTCCCGGATGTTCTCCCTCCACTCGGCGCGCTCGTAGTCGGAGGAGATGAGGAATGTGTAGCTCTGGGGCAGGTGAGGAGAGCATAACCCAGTTATCTCTGTCCAGCTAGGAGGGTACCTGTCAGACTTGGGGCACCCCACTGCTGTCAGCCAGCCAGGGGCCTGTGGCGAAGTGTGCTTACACTCACAGCTTGGTGTGTGGCTTCTCACTCTCTGCCCTCCTTAACAGCTGGGTGTTGGGCCACAGCACCTAAGCCCCCATTTGAACTGCCAGGGTCAGGGTGTGGCACAGGGCTCAGGCACATGGAGGAGGTTGCCAGAAATTCACAATGGTGAGCTGACGTCAACTTGACCTTCCGCATCCAAACCACAACCCCAATGCGGACCCAGAGATGAGGCTATGGCAGGGCCCACCAGCTGCCTCTCCTGGCCAGGGGGCCAGGGGACAAACCATTTTGCCCATTGACAGGTGTGTCTCATGCCCTTGGAGGGAGAGAGCCAGGCTACAAGATGGTACTGGGACTTGGGAGAGAAGTTGAGTCTTTGGTCCGTGCTACCACCAGAGGGCATCATTGCACTGAGGGCTGGGTCTGCACAAACCGCAGAGGCTACCCTCCCTGGAGACCCTGACATTCTCCAGCTGTGGGAGATGAGCTAGCTGCCACTCAACCTGGGGGCTACAGCCCAAAGTGTGCACACCTGGGGGCCTGGGCACCTGCCCGTGCTACAGTGGACCAGGATGGTCTCAAAGGACAAAAGGCCGCGTGATCAGTCAGTCAGGGGGCCAGCCCAGGCCAGGAGCGTCTGCCTGGGCGAGCAGGAGGGGTGTCGTGGGGGTGCTCACCTTGCCGTTGCGGCTGTGCACCCTGAAGGCCATGCTGGGTGACATGAGCAGCAGCAGCGACTCCTGCTCAGACAGCTTCTTCTTTAGCCTCTCGGTGGCCTTGCTGCCTTTGTTTGCTCTCTGCAGGGAAAGGCCACATTTTCATCCCAGTGCCTGGGACAACCTGCTCCCACTCGATCTGTCCCTCTGACCCCACACCTGGCCCATGGAAGGTGGGAATCTGTTTATCCACTCAGCTCAGCCCAGGGCCACAGGCAGCTGCTACTGGTGACATTTTCAGGATAGAAACAGCCTTTCCAGGCCTGGCATAAGCTATGGGACATGCTCAGTAAACTTTCTTTTTCTATTTTTGAGACATAGTATTACTCTGTCACCCTGTAGAGTGCGATGGCATCACAGCAACCTCAAACTCCTGGGCTCAAGCAATTCTCCTGCCACAGCCTCCCAAGTAGCTGGGACTACCTGCCACAAGCCCCAGTTACTTTTTCTTTTTTTCTTCTTGAGGTACAGTCTCACTTTCTTGCTCCCAGGAGGGTGCCATGGAGTCATACAAAGCAACCTCAAACTCCTGGGCTCCAGTCATTCTCTTGCGTTAGCCTCCCAAGTAGCTGGGACTACAGGCACCCACCACAATGCTTGGTTATTTTTTAGAGACAGGGTCTTACTTTTGCTCAGGCTGGTCTTGAACTCCTAAACTCAAGCAATCCACCCTCCTCCACCTCTCTGAGTGCTGGGATTATAGGTGTGAGCCACCAAGCCCTGCCGTATGCTAGCTAGTTGTTCTATTTTTAGTAGAGACAGGGTCTCACTCTTGCTCAAGCTGATCTCAGCTTGAGCTCAGGTGATCCTCTCAAATCAGTCTCCCAGAGTGCTAGGATTATAGGTGTGAGCCACCAGATCATTTACTAAACCTTTCTTGAAGAAATGAAAATGTTCCTCTCATAAAGGCAGAGAGAAGAAACCTTTACAAACGTCCTTGCCTTCAAATTTTTTTTTCTTTTTTTGAGATAGAGTCTCACTATGCCACCCTCTGTCTAGTGCCATGGCATCACAACTTACAGCAACCTCAAACTCCTGGGCTTCAGTGATTCTCTTGCTCAGCCTTCCAAGTAGCTGGGACTACAGGCACCCGCTACAATGCCTCGCAATTTTTTTATTATAGTTGTCATTGCTGTTTAGCAGGCTTGGGTTGGGTTTGAACCCGCCAGCCCTGGTGTATGTGGCTGGTGCCCTGACCACTGAGAGCTATGGGTATGGTGCCCTTGCCTTCAGCTTTTTTTTTTCTCTTGCAGTTCTTGGCCAGGGCCAGGTTTGAACCTGCCACCCCGGTATATGGGGCTGATGCCCTACTCCTTGAGCCACAGGCACCATCCCTTTGCCTTCAATTTTTGACAAACTCAGACAATGTCCAGGGGCTGTTGTGACCCCCTCCCTGATCCAACCATCAGGCCCCCTGGAAGAGTCTGTGGAGGTCCCAGGGAAAAACCAGACAAATATCACAGCACCTAGACAGGGAAACCCTCCCAGCCCAAGCTGTGTAAGACTCCTTATGAAGCCACTACCCCAGGGAGGAGAAATCTGAGCTGCCTGTCACTAAGCAGGGCCCTGCCTCCCACCCCCAGACGAAGGGCACCATGTGGAAAATGCCGGGGTGCCATCAACAAGCCAGGACTACCCCTGAGGATGTAGTTCTGGCCCCTCTGCTGGGGACACCCTGCTTTGGAGGCCACAGTCTTGCCTAGATGAACAAATAACCAACGTTTACTTGGGCCTCAGGGCTCCCTGTGTGCTCCTCAATGTGCTGGGTTTGGGTGCAGCTGGGTGACGGCTAAGGTGGACCCCTCTCCTGCTGTGTCTACCCCAGCCAGGCATCCCTGGGCTGAAGTCCAACCTCCTAGGGACCTATGTCACCTGTGGCCATCTCACGGGACCTACTCTGGGCTGGGTAACCTCAGACATGACAGACTCATCCCCACTACTTTCATAGTCTTTGAAACCTTTCCGGAAAAAACTACGGGCCTGAAGTCCAGAACATGTGGAGGGGCAGCACCCCCACCTGGGGCTGGCCCATATCAGGACGGTGGGGTGTCTTCCTCAGCCCTACATCTGGGGCTGGTCCAAGCCCTCCACAGTCTGGCTGTGACTTTCCTTCCAGTGACTGAGTACTTTACCTATGTGACAGAGTGACACAGCAAAGGCTGCTGCCCGGGCATAAACCACTCAAGCCAATGGCCGGAGGCAAGGACTCAGAGGCAACTCTCCCCACTAGCAGATGGGACTTCCATTCAGGCACTCTCCCCAGAACTCAGAGTGACTCCTGCCGCTCCCCACACATACTGCTTGGTGCTCTGTGCCTGAGTCCTCACGCCTGCCCATGTGACCTGGGACTGCCCTTATGAACACAGCACTCTGCCATCCCAGGCTCAGTAAGTGAAAATCTTGTTCCCTACTGTGCACCCTCTGGAGAGCCAGGGGCTGCCCTGGGCAGGTTTTACCCAGGACAGCAAGGAGAACACAAGGTCGGGCTTGAGTTCCAGTGTGATGGTTGGTCAGGAGCCACAGGGATAGAGTCTCATACCTGGCCGATGAAAAAGTGTGACGCCAGCACGAGTAAGTGTCCCATGTGGGGAACCTGTGGTCACAGGTCAGACAACTAGGCATCAGGCCATTGGCCAGGTATGAGACTGTATCCCATGAGAGGGGCATAGTGACCCCCAGCACCCTTGATGCCTGGCGAGGAGAGTACCTGTGGGCCGCGTGCAGGCTACCGCCCACCAGGTCACATGGAGCCCAGCCCCCGGCGCCCCTAGCCCTGCACCTTCTCCCTCTGGATATCACTCTTGATCTGGGAGATCTTGATCTTCAGAGCATCCAGCTCCTCATCCGGCACCAGGGGGATGTTGGGGGCTGCCTCCGACTCGTCCACCATCTGGAAGCTCAGATCCGTGAGTGGAATGTACCACTTGCAGTCGTATTGCTGGGTTTTGCTGGTGGGAGAGAAGGAGAAAGCTGACCCAGGCTGACCGCCTTCCCTGGACGATGGCACTGCTGCTGAGACTGGCCATGAATGCTGACACAGGCTGATGGCCTTCCCTGAGACTGGCCATGCATAGTCCATCTAACCTAAAACCCAGCCTGACACTGGTGGCCCCCAGCCTTGACGGATGGGGAAACTGAGGCTCTCTTCCAAGCTGACTGATTAAACCCCCCCAGCAGGGCAATGGCAGGATGTGGGGAAGAGCCCAGTTCTGGTCCTTCCCAATGTGGCCTTTGCTCTAATCAGATCTGGTGTGACTTGGGTGAGTCTGACCCATGGGTGGTGGTGGGGTGTCTGTAGCGCTGTGCTGAGAGAACCTCAGAAGCCACCACCACCCTTGGGGGACAAAGAACAGTGACCACCCAGTGATGCCTGGCAGGGGAGGGCTGGCCTGCATGAACTCTTGCAGCTCCCTGACCTGCTACCCACACTTCCCAGATTGGTCCCAACATAACCCTCCCACAATGGTGTGTGACCCTTTAGGTCACCATGATGCCCCACAGTTATCTACAGATTGTTAATGGCAACTGTTTTTTTCTTTTTTTTTTTTTTTAGACAGAGTCTCAAGCTGTTCCCCTGGGCAGTGCTGTGGCGTCATAGCTCACAGAAACCACCAACTCTTAGGCTCAAGTGATCCTCTTACTGCAGTTTTTCTATTTTTAGTAGAGACAGGGGCTTGCTTTTTTTTTTTTCTTTTTCTTTTTGCTCAGGCTGGTCTCGAACTCCTGAGCTCAAGCTATCCACTTGCCTCGGCCTCACAGAGTGCTAGGATTACAGGTGTGAGCCACCATGCCTGGTGCCGTTAATGGCAAATTTTTTTTTTTTCAGGTGCCGCCCAATGGCAACTTTTGATCTTGAACCTGGCATTTTGTCTAGGTGGGAGAAACATAAACACAAGACAAGGCCCAGCTGCAACCTCACTGACCTCTCCTGGGTGACCCATGACCCCCCCATCCTAGAGCACTGGGGCAGGACAGGGACAGGTCACCACTCACCCTCCACTCACAGCCCCCCATCCTGGAGCATCCAGGCAGGACAGGGCCAGGTCACCATTCACCCTCCACTCACAGCTCCCCATCCTGGAGCATTGGGGCAGGACAGGGTCAGGTCACCATTCACCCTCCACTCACCACTCATACCCTCCCCCATCCTGGAGCATTGGGGCAGGACAGGGACAGGTCACTGCCCTATCCACTCATTGTCCCCCCCCCCATCCTGGAGCATTGGGGCAGGACAGGGCCAGGTCACCACTTACCCTCAACTCACCCTCCCCATCCTAGAGCATTGGAGCAGGACAGGGTCAGGTCACCACTCACCCCCTCCCCCATCCTGGAGCATCCAAGCAGGACAGGGCCAGGTCACCACTCACCCTCCACTCACCTCCCCCCCCACCATCCTGGAGCCAGGCAGGACAGGGACAGGTCACCACTCACCCTCCACTCACCCCCCCCCAATCCTGGAGCATCCAGGCAGGACAGGGCCAGGTCACCACTCACCCTCCGCTCTGCTTCTTGAGCTTGGTGCAGAGGAGTAAGTCTGTGAAGAGGAAGATGTGACGCAGCTTGCGGGCGCCCTCCACCAGCTCCACCATGAAGCTATCCTTCAGCAGCTGCCGGTGCTGCGGGCACAGAGGGGGGCCAGGTCAGACAGGGTGTGCGGGCCCTCCTGGCCCAGAAGGAGCAGGTTGCCCTAGAGACATTCTCCGCCCCACAAGGGGATATTTCACTCCCTCCACATCCAATCCTCAGACCACTGTCCAGAATTTTCTGTCCGTCTCACTGGCCTGACGACAGAGGCCTACAGGCACCCTTTTGTTCAACAGGCATTTCTTTCTGAGTCCCTCCTCGTGCTTGGCCTCCGCCAAGCAAACAGCCTATAGGGAAGACCAATGATGGGAGAAACCCTTTTAAATGGGTAGCCAGTGCGACTCCGGGGATGGCAACTTGAGACAAGAAGCTGGCGGTGCTGAGGAGGGGCAGTGCTGCAGAGGGACAGTCCCAAGCACACGCTCTGTGGTGGGAAGAGCTTCACGTTCTGGGTATAGACAGGTCAGCAGTGCAGCCATTGGGGAGGGGTGCTCTGAGAATAGGCGGCCCTCAGTGTCATGACAAAAACCAGGAGTGGTTCTGAAGGCAGCAGGAAGCTGGGGGCCCATGTCTGGAATACCTAGTCCTCCTGACCAGGCAAGACAGGACAGGCAGAGTCACACACTTCTGACAGCTGCCTGAACACCTGTGGCCTGAGAGCAGAGGCAAAGAGGAGCAAGGGTGGGCAGCATGAGCTCCCAGCCAGCCACGTGCCTTTCTGCATCTCAGCACTTTGCTGCTAAATGGGCATGTTAAGGTAAACCACTGATTCACCCACAAACAGTGCCGGGCACGGTGTGTGGGCTGGGTGCTACCAGGGTAGAGGCTGTCGCAGTAAGCCCTCCCCGCACACAGATGGTGTGCTGTGCGGGCATATCCTGAATCATCTGATGTGATCCCCGTGACACACTGTAGGCAGGTCCTGATGCTCACTTCACAGATAAGAAAACAGAGCCTTGTAGAAGTCCGCTGTCTACCCAGGTAGCACAGAGAGCAAGTGGTAACATGCATTTCTGCAAGTGCACACGTTGTTCCTTGCTGCCTCTGGGTGCTGTCACCAAGCAGCTGTCTGCCCTTGGGGACGCACAGTCCTGGCTGCACCTGGCTTCCAGGAAGGCTTCCTAGGGAGGGCAACCCCTGCCCTGAGCTAGGATGGCTGGGAAGAGTCTGTACGTGGGATGTGTACTACAGAGCGCCTGAAAACCCATGTCTCCCCTGGCAGGTGGTGCACCCCTGCTCTGGAGGAGCCAGGCTGGCCAGGGGACAGAGCAGGTGTCTGGACAGAGCAGGTGTCTCCCACACCCTGCAGGATCTAGAAGCAACAGAGTTCCCAGAAGCAAATTTAGTCTGGGCCAGGCCCCTGACACTCCCTGGGTGGAGGCTGCATATCACCTTTGTAGGTAGGCTGGCTCACGACGGCCCTGGTGCCCTAAGTGGAAGGGCAAGAAGACTGTTGGTGTGCCAAGGTGTGACTCATTGGTACTCACCCACTCCCTGCCTGCCAAGGGCAGATAGCTGCCTGGTGACAGTACCCAGAGGCAGCAAGGAACAGCGTGTGCACTTGCAGAAATGTCTGTACAACGCAGGAAGGCTGACCCAGGCATGTCCAACTGTTGGGTCTGCAGCAGGGACCAAGTCTGGGGAGGATCCTGGGACACTGAGGTTCTCCGGGAATGATCACAAGATGTCCCCTTGGCAGGCACACAGCAGAGGGTCTTCCAGCCCAGGAAGAGAGGTCCAAGCAATGACACGGCCAGAGGGCAGCTCTCTAGTCACAATGGGACTGAGCTTCTCGCCATCACCAGCAGAGGGCACTCTAAGCTCAGCTCAGAAGCAGTGCACACACCTGTGGGCCAGAAATGCCCAGACACCCTGTCTTCCCACACTGACCAGATCCCCAGGGTTTCAGGGCCTTCGAGCCAACACAGACTTCCCACTGACCCACCAAGTCAGGTGAGGGACACAGCAAGAGTGGGGCTGGGTCCCCACAGCATCCTAGAGACAGTGTAAGGTCACATGGGAGGACTGTCCCTGTGGCCATGTCTCAAGAGAAGCAAACACCCCCAGGCAGAGCTGCAGGACAGAGAGGATGAGACCTTACTGACCCCAGGACAAGGACAGCATCATGCTTCAGAGGTGCTGATGGGCAGTGACTCTGAAAAGCTGGCCCACTGGAGATCCTTGTGTTTTTGCTGTGTTTATCTCTGTGCATCCTGTCTCCCTCCGTGTGGGTATCCATTCCAGCGTGAGCATATGCCGGTGTGTGTATGTGCCCATGTGTCCTCACATATGTGACCCCACGTGGGCATGTGTCCCTCTATAGATGTGTGTGCCCCTGTGTGTGCTGTGGGGCAGGGTATGGGAGGGAGGCACAGATGTCACACCCCCTTTGGGGAGCTCCCCCACAGCCATGGTGGGGACACCAGCTGGAAGGGACACCATCTGCCTTCTCAAATAACCGATAACATCACCCCATAGGCAGCCGCCCAGCGAGGCAAGGCGGCCAGGGCCCCCTGCACCTTCACTGCCTGCTGCACCCTCCTCTCTCCACAATGATACTGCCAGCTCGGTGGCTCCATTTCTCTGAGCCTCTGTTCACTTAAAAATGAGATGGCAATGACACAGACCCTGTGGTGGCATTTTTTCAGAGCATTAAATGAATCACTGTACCCCAAGGTCATCACACAGGGCTACCAGTTACCATTCACCAAGACCTCAAAGCTGTGCACATGGCGGGGGGGAGCGGGGACATCTTCAGAGCCTCCCATACATGACTTTACCAGAGAGGTACATTCACCCCCCTTTTACAGACAGGAAACCGGAGCCCTGGGAGGTGGCATTTTGTGCCCATGGTCTTTCAAGGAGGGGGCAGGCTCAGGCCACATGGGCCATGAGGAAGGGTCTTCCCCAGGCTGATACTTCCTTCAGCTGTCACTGTGGTAACACCCACCCCCCTCTCTTGGGTATAGCCTTCTCACACTGGAATGGATGAGGCTGGAAAAAAGGAACTATTACAGGCTAAAGGCCTGTGACCCCACCCACAGAATTCATGTACCCCAACACCCACTGGGAAGGGGTTCGGAGGTGGGGCCTTTGGGAGTAAGTAGGTTTAGGCGAGGTTCCGAGGGCGGGGCTGACGTGATGGGCTCAGTGTCCCTATAGGAAGACAGAGATCGTATTCTTGTGAAGGAAAGGCAGTGTGAGGACACAGTGAGAAGGTGGCCCAGAACCTGACCTCGCAGGCCCCCGGGGGAGGGAGAGAGAGATGCTTGTTGTTCATGCCTCCCAGCAGGTGGTATGTGGGCACAGCTAACTGAAATGCCTAACACATGCTCTGGGCTCCAAGACCACAGTTTTATGGGGGGCTGGGGAACATCCTCAGGTACTGCAGCATGATGAGAAACAAACCAGCAGGGCCTGGACGGGTGGGATGAGGAAAAGTCACCACGCAGGCCCAGGTGGGGCACCGGCGGCTGGCCCAATGGGCCCTGCAGGCAGCTAGCAACCCCAGCCCTCACTACTGTGCCCATTGAGAAAATCTGCACCCCAGGAGAGCTGGCTAACTGCCAGTGACCTGGATGACACTGCCTGCCAGTGGTAGTCCCTACACTGCAGTCTCTAGAGGGTCAACAGGTGCTCAGGGAGCAACAAGGGTCCCCAGCCAGGCTGACAGCCTCGTGGCCTAGGACCTACCACCATAATTTCTGGCCCTTCTCCCCTCTCACCTGACCTCTGGCTCTTGGAACCTGGCTAACTAGCCTCCCTGAAGAGCAAACCTCCACTGCCTGGTTTGAAAGAAAGCCTTTCCTGGCCAATTTTGGCCTGAGAGATTTCATGCACCCTCAAGAGACACATCACAAGACAATCTCTCTCTGGGGGTGGTCCAGAAGGGACACGAACCTGTTGGAGGGTGGGGCAGGGCCCAGGGAAGCACACTGCCAGTTTGCAGCAATAACAAGGGTGGTGGCAGCTAACGTTTGCTGAGCACCTACAGTGTCACCCCACAGCTCATCTCCCTCCACAGAACCGCCCTGTGTAGCAGGCTCCAGCTCCGCCACATCACGGAGAATGAACAGCTGAGGGGGTGAGCAGTGTGCCCACGCTCTTGGGATGAATTAGAACCTGGCCCAGACAAGCCCAGAAGCCCAACATTTGCAGGTAAATAGGGCCAAGAAAGGCTGGGCTCTGAACATGGGCACCCCCCACCCCCATCTTATCTTCTGGGAGCATTGCCTGACGAGGTTCTTTCAGCTTCCTCTCCAGGACCTGGGCACGCTGGGGGTTAGAGATGACCAGCAGGGCCTGGACGCCCACAAGTGGCTGCCACCTTGTGCCTGGTGGAGCTGAACACTCCACTCCTCCCGCCCTCGGGCTGGCACCTGCCTCTCCGCAGCAGTGCCTGTGAGGTCTGGCCTCTCCAGTTGTCCACCAACTCTTTCACCATCAACTGAAAGGCCTCAGCTCTCCTGGGGCCACGCCTCGCCACCTCTCCACCTTAGCCTGCCCCAGTAACCCCCTAGGACCAACCCCCAGCTCCTGATCAGACCATTCCCTGATCCTCTGGGATCCCAGGTGGAGGACAGTTATTGGGGCCAATGCATGGCTGGCTCTCAGGAGAC